TCCGCACCGACCGACTGCGTATCTTTAAGCTACTAAATTTGATACTTTGATGATTAAACAAACAAAAATACATTACTCCAGATGTTTTAAAGTGTACAATTTTGTGGTTTGATAGTTTTATGTAATAGAAAGATTTGTATCTCCTCTCGTGAAAGGAAATACGATCTTTGTAATAGATACCGCCTTTAAACAAGATGGCGGGTGCCACCGCAAAACAAATTCATATTATCAATGTTGTACATATACTCAAACTGATAACAGAAGATTTTAAAGGGGAGCTCCGGAGAAATGGGGTTTAACGCCCACTCGACAATAACAAGTCATTTCGGGCTAAGATAATACTGCATATTTTAATAAATCGCTTGCACTCAATGATCTTCAAAAGTGGAAATACCCGGAGAAAACCTACGAGGTTCGGTCAGCGACAATCAATTCCGGCCCTGTGATGTAGAAACCCATTATCGAAGTCAAATCTAGCAACATTCAGCAGCTAATCGCCACTCGCGTTTCCTTCTCTTAATGTGGACGTTTCGCTTGTATCCGGAATCATCCGTTCACAAAGATCATTTCAAGGTCATCAATTATTGTGACCATGTCCCTTTAATTCAAATGATGGTCCATATTTCGTGTATCTGTTTTGTTCTATTCTTGTTTCGTTTAGCCTTTTGTTTTTAGAGTTCAAGATCTGCACTTAAACACTGAAATATTAGCCTAAATGTCATCTCTTGTATCGTTGACACCCAAATATTATTCTTTAAAGTTTGCTTGTATTTTTTTTCTTGTTAAAATGCCATAAATATAGAATTATTAGGGCGGCAACTCGACGTCAACATGAGATAATTCTAATCGGGCGGAATGAGTTAAGAGATTGACAGCAGAAAAAAAACAGTGCAAATGTACTTCAAAAATTACAAACCTAGACGGATGGAATCTATGCGACAACGTCGCTATCTAGGATAATTTCTCGTTCGCAGCAGCGCAAGCGTAGCCATATTCAATTTTAACATTGCGTCCCGATCCCTATTCGGAATTCAATACAATATAAAATAGACACGTAAACGGTATCTTCTAAATTTTAACCCTGTACACATTTTTTACAAAAAAAGTATGCTAGTCTCAAAATGTCCAAGTTAGAGTGCCATGTCACGAAAATATCCAAGATGCAGTGCCATTCCACGACAAAATGTCCAGTGTATAGCGTCATTCCACGACAAAATGTCCAGTGTAAAGCGTCATTCCACGACTAAATATCCAAGATACACCGCCTTTTTACGAAAAAGTGTGCAAGGTAAACCTCCTTTCCACCACAAAATGTTCAAGTTAAAGCGCCATTCCACGACTAAATATCCAAGATACACCGCCTTTTTACGAAAAAGTGTGCAAGGTAAACCCCCTTTCCACCACAAAATGTTCAAGATAAAGCACCATTTAACGAAAAAATGTCCATGGTAAAGCGCCATTCTACGACAAAATGTAAAGGGTAAGCGCCATTCCACGCCAAAATGTTCAAGGTAAAGTGCCATTCCACGATAAAATGTCCAACATGTACGAGATAAAGCGTCATTCCACGACAAAATTTCACAGATAAAGTTGCATTCCACGACAACATAGCTGACATAGAGTTACATCCAACGACAAAATATTCAAGATAAAGCAACATTCGACGACAAAATGTCTAAGATAAAGCACCAGTTTACGACAAAATACCCGAGGAAAAGCGCCATTCCACGACAACAAGTCCGAGATAAAGCGCCAATCCACGACAAGATGTGTTTACCGATTTTTTATTTCGACCACTGATTAGGATTATTTGTGCTTAGAAGTTAAAGCCGTTGATGGTCATTAGGGGGATTCTGAATCCTTTGTAAAACCACAAGTTGAATCTCTAACAGTAATATCGGGCCAAAAAATAGGATGAATAGAAAATTTCGTAACATCGTCAGCAGCTGACAAAAACAGGCCAGCGCCACCTATAAGATTTGGCTAAAAGGCTATAATCTTTTCATGGACCTCTTTTTAATTCGATTGAATCCAAGACGGGAGATTTTCTGTTGAAACTGATTTTTGTTCTTAATTAAGCATGGAATTTCAATATAAATAAGTTTAAGCATGAATTAATTATGAAAAGTTCTCCAAAAATGTATGATTGAGATCGACAACTCTGGTACAAAACGAGCCAGGTCGATCAAAGTCGAATTAACTTTTCAACGCCTTTTTCTTATTTAAATTCTGTTATTATTAGAAGTTGGTTAAGATAAGAATTTGATGGAATTCTCAGACGAGAATGATTAATAACAGACTCATGTATCAAGGCATCGTTCAATTATTACGCTAAAAGAGAGGGGTAGAGAGAGAGAGAGAGAGAGAGAGAGAGAGAGAGGGGGGGGGGGAGTGTTAACGTCCACTCGACACAAACTATGCAATTTCGGGACTAAAAAATGGTTCAATTTTGTTTCAATAATTCGTTTTCACGTAGGGGTCAGTAACAGTGGGAAGAAACAGGAAGACCCGGAGGAACCTCATGACGATGGACAGGCGAATCTAATCCTTGTCACGTATACACGGGAAATCGAAACCACGCCACTTGACTCAATGACAGACCTTTTGATCCAAGTGCTAGCTTTAAACCATTCAGCCACTTAACCCTTACACTTAAAAGCATTTTACTTGACTGTTTGGTTTTCAACTTTGAGATAGTAAATTAACTGAATACGATAACGACATAAAAATTAAATTAGCAAAATAATGTCAATAAACCCGTAAGATCTGTAAAATTACATTCTTGCTTAGTTATTTTAACATCATTATCAAAATATACGTGTATAACATTTTTACCTACCGGATTTTGAACGTTTTTTTTTTTATTTCGTCACTGTATATTGTTTAAAAAAAAGACATGAAACTCGGTAAAAATACATCAAACCTGGTAAAAATACACCTAACTTGGTAAAAAAGACAAAACATCTTGGTAAAGAAACAGAAAAATCAAGGTAACAAAAATACCTGCACTATGCAATTTTACTTAAATTCCTAACAGTGTAGGGGTCCAACTCGTCTATAAAGTACTTTCAATTCAAGACGTTTATTATATGACCAAAAAGTTTGTGTCTATCACAGCGGACATCTGTGTGCTGTTGTCTCTTTAAAATCTCCAATTAATCTGTTCGTTTGATTTGAACTTTGGGTAGAATAAAATGTTTTTATGTAAACCATCCATGGGGGCAAAGCTGTGTGATTCGTCGAAAATATCGCCAATCAGATGAGGACTAAGCAGTGTGATTGGTTGAAAACATCGCAAAGTCTCCAATCAGATGAGGATTAAACAGTGTGATTGGTCGAAGACATCGCGATGTCTCCAATCAGATGAGTTTACTGTTTGTCCTTCATTTGCCCTGATAATTATCCGAGCTGGCAAAGTATTAATGGTATCCTGTCTCAACAAAGTTTTGTTTCCAGACGTGACGCAAGCTATAAAAGTTTCGTTTCCAGACGTGACTCAAGCCATAACAATTTCGTTTCCAGACGTGAGATCTTGCGATTATGTCCAGACGCTACTGACCGGAACTGCGTCAATTCGCATCAGTCATCTATAAACATCAGCATATTGTGGAAGGCAACATAAATTTGCCAAAGGCTGTTGCTCAGTCGAAGATGAGATGTGCACAAGGCTTCGATCACAAGGGAAATAACTCTGTTTCTGTGTTTAACCGCATTTCGGACAGACTTCCTCCTTTGAGTTTTGTGACTAGCCAAACTTTAACACAAAATAACTATTTTTTTGTTTAATCGAATCTGTACGACGTTTGCAAGATAGGGGTGAGGACAAAATACCCCCCACCTAGGGGTGCATAAGAGTATGTGGGAGTGTCAGCTATTACTGGGGAATTTGAGAATTGATACATCTAAATAGGCTAGTAGTATAATATACTCTTGCAGCTGAGAGGTATGATTGGGCTAATCACAACATTCGAAAAAACTGATTCAACAGCCAAACAGAAGATGAAATCCCATTTTAAAATATGATCTATATCTCTGTATCACAGGTAGTCAGCAAGCAATGTGTTCTGATTTAGCTAATAAAATTGTTCATAATATAAATACCGCGCATAAAAAACACTATTCACATAAATAATTAAGTGACGAATGTTTGAATAAGATAAATATATATGCATGGTCTTGTTGGTGGGTGTTTTTATATATATATTCTAAGTTTTATGGGTTATAATGTAATAGATTACGGGTATGTGAAGGTTACATTACTAGACCACACACGTGGAATAATAAAAAAAACTGGTATAAAATCTCTTTAAACGGCTAATAGTTACTTTACACAAATATTAAAAAGATCGTATGATAGATATAGACTGTATATACGATATTTTGCGATGGTGTTGACTAGGAGGTCAAGTCGGTCGGGGAGGAGATCGAGTCGGTTGGGGGATTGGGTAGGTTGAGTCGGAGAATGGAGGTCAAGCCGGTTGGGGAAGGGTGTGTGGGTGGGGTGGGGGATTAGGACGGTCAGGGAGGAGATATGGTCGGTTTGGGAGGAGATATATTAGGCCGGTTGAGGAGGAGAGCAAGTCGGTTGGGAGGGAGGGATTGGGTCAGGATAAAGTCGGCTGAGATACATTAGGTCAGTTGAGGGGGAGATCAAGTCTGCTTTGGGTGATTAAGTCAGTTGAGGAGGAGATCAAGTCGGCTTGGGGTGATTAAGTCAGTTGAGGAGGAGATCAAGTCGGCTTGGGGTGATTAAGTCAGTTGAGGAGGAGATCAAGTCGGCTTGGGGTGATTAAGTCAGTTGAGGGGGAGATCAAGTCGGCTGGGTGGAGATTAAGTCAGTTACGGAGGTGAACAAGCCGGTTGGAGAGGAGATCAAGTCGGGTGGGGATGGCGAGAGAGATTGGGTCGGTCAAATCAAGTGGGTAGAGAGAGAGCGAAAGATTAGTTCGGTTGAGGAGGAGAAAAACAGAGATTAAAATGAGGAATAGAAGTAAACTTACTGTTTCTGTGTAATTAATAATAAACAATAATACCATCAGTAAACCGTTGAAATGTTGCATCACCATGCTGTAAGTAAACAAATATACAAAGGTCAAGGACAATCAATCCTCCATTTACTATAATACAAGGCTGCAAATAGAGAACTACCAAGGGATCCTTTGTATGCACTATCAATTTATACACGGGGCCTCGGTTGTTTCACCCACCGAAAGACTAGACTTAGTCGCTTCTCTGATCAGCCCCACAAGCACCACCACAGCCAAGACAGTACACGGAGCAGTCAAACCCAGAATATTCTAGTTGTGAGACTAATGTCCCAACCACAACAAACACCACGAACCCCTCTTTTATTTTTTTTGAGTGAAGTCTGCATCATTACAGGCCCGGGACTTTACAGCCTAGTGGACGCTTACGGCTGGTCTCCGGGTCCATTCACTTGTTTTTATTAATCCGGTTGCTGTTTATTGCTTGCAATGTCTGTGTACTTTGTGTGTCCCACTATCCGCAGATTTGTCTAATGGGTTTCTGTTCGCGCGTAGTGCGGTCCTCTTACACTTACGATATGAAACAGAGGTTTTATATGTCAGGACGTACATACAAGGGCGACAACAATATGGACATGAGCGGATCAGGGCCTAAAATAAGGTTAAATTCTCGTAGCACGGATTTTGAAAATAATCCAGAGCTGAAAAACGGCATTTGTGGACTATTCTGGCGCAGTTTACATAGGAGTTTATTTGGCTATGCGCAGCTTTTTTTCGCATGAAAACTCAGCTCTAGTTTGTTACGATAATATTTGAATTATAATTCAAATTCTATCATCACATCAACATCAAAACCCAAATTCTATCACTAACAAAGATACACCATATTTTTTTTTCAGAGCACGCTTTTCTTATTTTCGAAGCACGGATCTTTCATTTCGAAGCACGTTCGTGCTCCAAGGCACGTTATTATAGGCCCTGGAGCGGATGGATACAAAACATGTGTCGATTACTTCAACAATAATTTGAATTGCCGATGAGCATCCGCATACATCGAATACACAAAAGTACAAGGCTTTGCCACTTGCCAGTGTTTTGGCCTCGCTTCACTCTAATTCGATACATGTATACATCTAAATGGGTAGAAATCTTTCCTCAGAGCTTCTGATTGTATATAATTCTCCGGTAATCCCGTAGACCTACGTCAAACCTGACGTTGTCTCAGTCTTGGACCCGTTGCTGCTCAAATTCCTGAACAAGCCCCCTGGTGAGGACTATTTTGTGTGTTCAATTATCTATGAAAAGTGGGATATTTCTTTTTGCGGTGGGGGGGTAGTTTTTAAGTGGGTAGGACGCTGGCTAGCTAGCCTGGAGGTCGCGTGTTCGATCCCTGCATTAGCCGAGAAAGTTCATCGTGATTTTTCGGCGTGGTTTCCCCTTGTTAGTGGTGCAGAACGGAGGGCCTGACAATAACAGCTGTCTAGTCGTTCGGATGGCACAAAAAACGAGAACCCGTGTATACATTGTCGTGCACGTAAAAGATTCCTTGGGAGTTGGAATTCGATATAAGAGTAGGCCCTGGCAAAATTTCCCTCATAGCACACTGTATGGTGTATGCCCGTCTTCATTAGCTCAGTATGAGCAGAAAAATAGGACGTAAAACCTCATTTCATTTCATTTTTTTTATAAAGTTTACGCCATTCTTCTTGTGCGCTGTGTTCTCTAGTTCACACCTTGCATCTGTTTGCATGTAAACGGAGAACATCAACAGAATTCACAGTGTTGACATAAAATGTCTGGATCTGTTTTTATATTTAAGCTCAGTTTAAACATTATCTAAACAACATTTGTTGACTTTAAGAATTACAATTATTTTTAAAACTATTTCAAATATGAGAAATGTAAACTAGCCTATTTCTTAACGTCAGTGTTGACTGATGAATAACAGAATACAGAATAATATAAAATGGAGAAACAAGGTTTATTGCTGTAAATATTAAAGTTAAACATACATTCTTCAAGAGCTAAATCTGCCTATTGCACGTCTTTCTTTAGGCCTGAAATGTTATCTAAATTATTAATTAGACATTAATTAACTTATCCAGTATCCAGACAATAATCAACCCTCGCTGCCATCGCTAGCCTGCGATATTTAGCGGATTGAGATACATTTTTTTAAATATAATTAAACGGAAAAAGGGATAATCGAGACATTGATTTTTATCGTACCGACTTAAGAAATGATGATCGAGGCTAGCTTAAAAGTCCAAAACTAATATCTCGGTTCAGAGTAGAGCAATTAGAAAGAAATTTTCAGCATATTTTATTTACATTATCTGTTTTTAAGTATTACAGCAAGAACTGTCAACTATTTTATTTTTCGGAAATGATTTAAAAGTGACTTGAGTTGTATCTGTATAATAGATACACGTGTGTTACATGTTCGCCTGTGTTGTTTTAATACAAAACACGTGGTCAGCTAGAACCTGTCGTGACCTTTCCGTGATTGACCTCTCGTCTATTTATCATATACTTATTGACATTTATACTCCCGAGAGTAACGTCTATAACAACTTCTGTCTGACTCCATCTTGGATTTGATAAGGATGGAGATGAAAGCGACGACACGTGTAATGAAATCTTGTCTCTGCAGACTATTAGAAATCCGACGATAATTAATCGGATGATTTGATTGTCTTCCCTTGACGACCTTTATTGACCTTTATTGACTTTTATTAACGAAACATGCGCCTCTGGTATTAAGCCCCGTACACACCAGCAAACTTTGTGCTTGTTAAAACAGTTAGCAGACGACGGTCCGGAGATTGCCATCGATTGCTCGACCATCAGAACGACCAGGCCTCCGTCTTGCACTACTCACGATGGTAACCACGCTGGAAAATCCCAGGGTACTTGTTCGGTCAACATTGGGATGGAACCCCAGACTGTTTGATTAGTAAGCCAGCGGCTTACCCACTGAGCCCCAGTGCCCCAGTGCCCCCTACACCTCAAGCCTCCACTAGGACACCTCCGGAATTACAAACCCTGTAGCTTCAGCTTCATTAGATTAGTTTTATAGTTCATCCGTTCCTGTAGGGTGTAGCGAAATTTATTGTTTATTATTTTAATATATACGATATCATACATGGAAATAATTATATACAGGCTGTGTTCATTTTGTATCGTTATTTATTTTATTTCTTTCTTATTTAATTATTACCATGCTTTTTAAGTAAATAAACGTCTTACAATGAGGGGAAATGGCTTAAAGGCGATTTACGAACATGTCAGTGGAACCATTATGATTCAGATGGGAAAAGAACCAGTAACAGCCTAGGGGTATTGCATGTACATCGTCTAGATGAGATACAGTCATAGATATAAGGGAACCGCGGTGGCTCGTAGAGTAAGACGCTGGCTCGCTAACCAGCCGGGGGGGGGGGGTGGCTGAATGGTTAGCACGTGCGCGCTGTATCATAAAGTCTGTCATTGAGTCAACTGGCGTGGTTTCGAATCCCCGGTTGTATGTGACAAAGAGTAGGGTCGCCTGTCCAACCTCGTGGCTTTTCTCCGGGTCCTCCGGTTTCCTCCCACTGCTAAAGACCCCTACGCGCACGCGAATTATTGAAATAAAATTAAACCATGTTAGTCCCGAAATGACCTAGTTTGTGCCTGCTTAATATCTGTCCTGTTAAAATGATTTAAATTCTTAAAAAGAAAATTCGTTTCTAAAAACGTCGTAAAATAATTCACTTAGGTTCCAGAAGGTAATTGGGGTGTAAATAATCTGAATATTGGATAATTTTAAAGTAATAAATCTTGTCACGAAGATGTCGTCTGTTAGATTGAAACTGTCACGAACTAACTCTTGGGCTTTGATAAACAGCCTCCTTTAAAGAATAAAGTTGCGATAAATAAGTTAATGTTTCAAGTTTTTGTGATTTAAATTTTGGAAAGACAGGTTTATTTTGTTACTTTGGCATTTAGATTTTGTGTGTTCAACGTTTTGTCTCCATAGTTTATATTGTCTTAGAAGCCATGGTGTCTCACCGATAATGGCGCTGGCTCAATTTTTGTTGTCGAGTTTAACGTCCACTCCCAGCTAGGGTGATATCACAGACAGACGCTTGCTCACTGACCAAATGAAAGTTTGCTGAGATTGTCCAGTTTGGTTTACCATTACCATTTAATAGTGCAGGGAGGAAAGTCTGGGAGTGCAAAGCGTTTAGTTGTACGGATGCGACGCAAAACCTAGGTCCCCGGTCTACATTGACGTACACGTAAACGAAGAGTAGGCGAATGTACCGCTATAGCACACTGCATCTCGTAAGCCCGTCTTCGTCAGCCTGGTTGGTGCACAGAAGCAGGATGTTACCCCCGCCGTCCTCCCCGATTCAAATGATGATATCAATATTCATGTCCTTCGAAAACACAATGTATGTTACATTTTGGTATATTGATCTAAAACGGAGTCTGGTGATGTTTGTAAAATTCAACAACTGGAACCAGCCCACCCCCACCGCCGACAAATCAATAGTCCCGTACGTGTATGTAACCATGTGACGCTAGATACCAGTTCTCATTTGGGGATGTAAGCATTGGTTGTGTGGGGAAGGGGGGGATCTATTAGTCACTGTACTTATATTCTTGAATAGTCTAACTGAGTCAGCGAGAAATGTTATTGGGGTGGGGGTGGGGGGCACACAACAATTTGTTCCTTTACATTCTATCTATTGATGAGACTGTATTACGTATTGATTATTGTTTATTATATAATTATAGTCTACAAGATATAATTGAATATTTCACATCTAAAGTTATTAACCTGTCTATTTCTACAGGGAATCTTACATCTAACCTTTAAATTATTACTTTTATTCCAGACATATATTGATACCACGATGATTGTCACACAGAAAATATAATATTATAGGCAATATTGTAATACGTGTATAATACAGAGTAGCGCTACTGTAGTCTCGACACAAACGTATTGTAATACGTGTGTAATACAGAATTGAATTTTGTCAGGGAGGTGCTACTGTCGAAATCTCAAGGATTCTTTGTTCCCGCCACATTATC